GGAGGGGGGAAGGGAGGGCCAGCCAAGTGGCTGGATAAGTCACAGTGCAGCGCCCGAGCGGCAGGCGCTGCACTTTAAATGTGTGGCGTCTAGCTCTTAGGCGCTGCACTGCTGGGTGCGGGCCCAGGGGCTGCCACGGTGGACAGGTGTGCAACGCCCTAGAGGTAGGCGCTGCACAGTAGGGTGTGGCGCGTTCATGGCGGGCGTTACACAAAAAGGTCAGGGACGTGAAATAGTTTCACGAGCAGTTCACTCTGTTAATTGATTTCGTCCCGAGGTCAAAATTGTCAAATTTGCCAACATAGACACCCACCATTTGCTTTTTGAAGAAAGAAGAAGAGATCTGTGATGAGATGCCCTGGTCAAAATATCCGGTTTGAAAAGGCAACAACAGCCCACCCAATCCCGATAGATCGATGCCGCGGACGGAAAGATTGGATTGGGATTCCGGCCGGAGGTCGACCGACATGCACACGCCCAGCAGGTAGGTAGCTGGGCAGGAATGTAAATGGCAAATAAATGGTGTCCGCAAGTCCCGTTTAGTTAGTTTTACCTAGCTTCATAATTTATTTTCTCAGAAAAAACAAAATTTAAGCTGTTTGATTATATAGTGGCTTTAAACAGGATTAAATGGGACCCGGTTGCGAATCAACCTGTGGTTGAGTTGGTTAGGTTGACAGTGGTATCCCTAACCCACCAGGGTTCAAATCCTGGTGCTCGCATTATTCCTGAATTTATTTCAGGATTTCCGGCGATGCGCTTTCAGTGGGAGGAGACGTTCCCGTCGACGACGAGGCGCCTATGGTGGCTTCGTAAATCTCAAGATGATATGCCGGCTCAGTCTCTCGGAGGTGCTCATAGGGGTAGGGTGTGCGTGTGTGTGTTCATAGGGATGAGTGTATGCGCGTGTATATGAGAGCTTGTGTCTGTACTGATGCTAAAAAAATGGGACCCGGTTGACATCCTGAGTAGCCGCTGTGGCATCGGGCGGACGATGATCGTTGTCGCCTTATGTTGGCTCCATCTTTTGGCAGCGGCAAAGAGCCGCACAAGCGTCGGGTGATGGGATCTTTATGGATATCCTAGAAACATACCCTCTCCGGCTGAGCTTTTGCGATGGGAGATGTCCTCATCTCATTCTCCTGGTCCTAGTTTTGATGGGCATCTGTTTTGCTGCCTCTGTGACTGAAAATCCATGTTGAATGGTTTTCCAAAGGTTTCTGCCTAGCACAACAAACGACATCTTGGATGGATCTCACCAAAGCTAAGTTTGGCGTATCATGAGACCAAAAAAATAGCATTGGCCTATGCATACCTGTGCACGATGGGGAAAATAGCACACCTTCGGCACCTGAAACGGTAATGGAGTTTCTTACACTATTAGGTAAAACCCTAATAATAGCGCGGGTTTTGATGCTAGTAGTAGCGCGGTAGCCGCGCTACTACTACAGCGCGACAACTAACAGTTAGTAGTAGTGCGGTACAAACACGCGCTACTACTATTGACTATATCAATAGTGTTTTTACCAAATGCGCTACTATTAAGTAGCTGTAGCGCTTATCTATCCCCACGCTACTGCTGTATCTTTCATCATTTTCCCTATTCGCTTCCCCGTTTCACGTTTCAGTTTATAATTTATAAACTGCAGCTTCACATGTACCAGATGACAATATCATTAACCAATACCATATAGTCATACAGTAGTCATAATATATATATGATAAGCAGTACTAGCTAGGTAGTCTAACAGCCACACATATATAGCAGTTCTACTAGGTATATATAGTCATACAGCCACACACATATGTAGTTCTAGATGATATCGACGACAATCATCATCCTCAAGCCTGGGCGGAGGGTGTTCCTGATAGTAATTAGGATGGCATGTCCAACACGAAGATTCTTGCCAACGAGGAATCTCTTCCACCCAACGGAGTTTAAGTGTGTGCGACCGTCCGTGTCCACACCGTAATTACAGGTGGTGATGGAGCCCCTTGCGTTAAGGCGTAGTCCAGTTAAGCCTTCTTCATCAGGCTCGATACCACAACTCACAGATAGGCTCTTTGGCAATTTGTGAATAAGAAAAACATATCGATTAATAAGTAGCCTCACACATACTCTTGCAAATATATTTCTACTAAGTATAGATTTCTACACTATCAAAAGACACAGTACTACACATTTCTACTAAGCATAAATTCTACTAATAAGTATATATGGATTATCTACACTATTAATAGTTCCTTGGATTTTACACTAATATGCATGTGATCGGACTCTAGACTAAAACATATCATCGGAATCACTAAGCATATCA